CATAGAGGGTCAAACTTACAAGAGGCTCTGCCAAGGAGATGCATTTCTGTTAGAGTGAGAGAGAGAGAGAGAGAGAGAGAGACAGAGAAAGAGAGAAGATAAGGGGTGCGATCGAGAGAGACAATGGAGGGAAGGAGGGAGAGGAGGAGGAGAGAGAGAGAGAGAGAGAGAGAGAGAGAGAGAGAGAGAGAGAGAGAAAGAAAGAAAGTGTGAAAGACCCTCAGGAGAACATGAGGTAGTCCCAGTCTCCCTTTAATAAAGTTGATATTTCCTCCCTGTGCTGTAATGGCACCAAACAGGCATTCTTGAGGAGAGTTCTGCCCATATTAGGAGAATGTTACCTGATATCTGCACTGAGGAAATGTGCTAGAGGGAGGACGCCTAACAATCTGGCAGTAGAGAGAGCTGCCTCTCATCTGAAACACATCTCCTGCCTGGAAAGGTGAATGGGAAATGTCAATCCCTAGACTATGGTTAGGGTCAGGACAGTAGTGTCTCCTGACCATGGAAAACTCTGGGTCCTATTTATTCTTGGGTCGTCACTAGTCAGAAATGGCTAAACCCGGCCTATTTCTAAAATGTATCTTCTTAAAATAGGATTTTTAAACCTAATCCTAAAGGGATACTTTTGGAATTTGGCAATGATTTTGGCAACATTTGGATACCATTTTTATGTCTCGGTGTCCAGTATGAAGGAAGTTAGAGGTAGTTTCGTGAGCCAATGCTAACTAGCGTTAGCGCAATGACGAAGTCTATGGGTACTTGCACCCATAGAATTCCAGTCATTGCGCTAACACTAGTTAGCATTGGCTTGTGAAACTACCTCTAACTTCCTTCATACTGGACACAGAGACATATAAATAGTATCCACGAGTTCATCTGACTCTGGGGAAGTAGATAAAGGGCCTCATTGCCAAAATTCCGAAGTACTCCCTTAACCCTGACCATAACCACACAGCTAACTTTATGCCTAACCCTAACCTTAAATGAAAAACAAAAAAGCTAATATTTGTTTTCATAACTTGTTTACAATAGTCAATTTTGACTTTGTGGCTATGGTGACAACCTTATTCTTGGTCAGGAAAATCTCCAAGTGCACCTCCCTTACCTACTTCTGCCCTGGGAGGAAACCTTACCCCACCTCAGCCTGTCAGTCCATGAGAAGGATGGACCATTCGCTAAGGAGAGGTTCTGGAGAGGTGAAAAAAGAAAAGAGAGGGCTGAGACTCAGGCTGTCCATAAGGGGAATGTGATACAGTGTTAAGGGTTGAAGGCTGGTGGAGAAATTACTGGGATGATTTAAGTTTTTCCTGTTCTCATTCCTGGCCAAACCTTAAGGGAAGGTCAGGACTGGATAAGTCTGGATCTGAGACTTTCTGGATCTGGTAAGCTATTAGCTAACATTACATTCTTCCACCAGGACATGTTCAGAGACAAACCAGACCATGTCTACATCATCATGTTGATGTGAAATCAGCAGGTCAATAAAGAGACATTACAGAGGGTTTAATCAAAAGCACAGGCTTCTGTTTATTGACCATTGCACGCAACATGAACAGGTGAGGATATTTACAGAGATGTAAACAGTCAGTACCTGCAACACTGAGGAAGCACAGAGTGTGACACACTGCAGAGACTCTCTCTCACACTCACACACAGCCAAGTAGCAGTATAAACACATTGGACAGTCTGAAAACACAGAGTACAACAAGCCCCTTTGGTCAGCTACTTCAGACTAGTGTCAACATGTTATTTACAAGTTACCATTCATAGTTCAAAACAATAGAACACATACTGTAAGAACAGTACAGGCAAGGTATAAGTTGACCTATAATGGGTCTTTTTTGACATTATTTTATCTGTTAGTGATAGACTGGTACACACTCCTGATCTTGCTTAATTAATTTTTTCTTTAGAAGACGGAGTCAGAGTCAATGGCATGGAAAAGCAATGAGGCCAATCTTGTTTCTCTTGGTTACATAAATCATAACAACCTGTACATCAATGGATACCACCCTTCAGTTTGTGACCTCTGACAGTTATGACATGACTCCATGAGTTTCTACTAAAAATCATAATTCACTGGATTCATGTCAATTCCTTCATAACCCCAACACAAGCCAGTTAAAAACAGCAAAAATATATGACAAATGTCACTTACAAGACAATCAAAAGCAAATTCAAACAAAGGATTATTAAAAGACAAGTGCAAATGCTGTGCCATCCCCGACACTCGCTTACTTCCCTTCTTCATCAAGAATAAACAAAATAGAGAAAAAAACCATACATAAAATGGTGGGAAAAAATCATTTCCTGCACATTGTGGTGTCAAGAGGCATGCCTGATAAAAAAAGAAGAGACCACACGCCCCGTCAGAGGTTCCTGCACAACAGGAGATAACACTGAGTGGTACACTGCCCTCCTCTACCCTCCCCTCCCCACCCCAGGTGCAAAAGTGAATGACATTAAATAAAGGAAGAATGTCCACTATTTATCCCTCTACCTCCCTTTCCTCTGCTTCTGTCCCTCTCTTTCTCCTATTCCCTCCCTCCCCCCTCTGCCCTCTGCCCTCACTCTCCTACTCCCCCCCCCCCTCTGCCCTCACTCCCCCCCCCCCCCCCCCCTCTGCTCTCTCTCTCTCTCTCCTCTGTAGTGCTGTCTGGCACAGGGCCTGATTACATCCACATCAACAGTGTGTTGTCAGGGTGGTGTCCGGTCAACACTTCCTGCTACACCACATTAACAGCCACCACTGATCCCAGACCCCATGTAGCCAAGCAGCTCAGAGGAGCTACTCCCTCTGATGCCAGACATCAGCTATAAATCAACCCAGCCCCCATACATTGTAGAGCGAGGCATATGGGATACATTAGACTAGTGTAAGTCTAATACAAACCTATTGTATCATTATTTTACACAAATAAAGATTAGCACACATACATTTTTCTACAACGATTTTGTTTTCTTCAAGTGATCCCTACCAGCTTTTCTCTAAATATCTACTCTGAATCATATCAATCCAGAAATGATTGTTTCAATATCAAATATGTCTGTAGTTTTGGATCATTTAATCCGATATGTTATTATTCCAACTCAACTATTCAAGTTGTTTCTGATAGTATGTACCAATCCCTTATGTAGTCAATAACTCAGGCCAGTTACCAGTTGAACTGCGGTCCAGTACATACAGTGTAGCTGCAGCACCTCAACAATGTTTGACATGGACATCCTCAGGCCAATTCCATGAATTATCCAACAAAGCAAATTCGACTTGAAATAGAATTGAATAAGAAATAATGAATGTCTATTCACCAATGTCAATTTCAGATCAATTTGCCTAAAACAAAGCAAATTAGATCCTTAATTAAGAGCTACTGTAGCATATTCCCTCTACTATTCCACTGCTGTGAATAAACCAGATAGATCTTAGCCAGTAGGAAGCAAGGGCTTAGCCCAAATTAAAGTACACTCTAGGTTTGATTCTAGTAGAATTTCAATCCCTAATGTCAATTATAAACTGGGTGGCTCGAACACTGAATGCTGATTGGCTGACAGCCGTGGTATATCAGACCGTATACCACGGGTACGACAAAACATTTATTTTTACTGCTCTAATTACGTTGGTAACCAGTTTATAATAGCAATAAGGCACCTCGGGGGTTTGTGGTATATGGCCAATATACCACGGCTAAGGGCTGTGTCCAGGCACTCTGTGTTGCGTTGTGCATAAGAACAGCCCTTAGCCGTGGTATATTGGCCATATACCACACCCCCTCGTGCCTTATTGCTTAAATATACACCATGTTACACGTGTATAGTATTATAATTACAGTGAAAACTAGGATGTAGCTAAAGTACTTATAGTATGTTGCAAAATACATCAAGTATTTTCAGGCTGCCTGCACTCAATTTTCATCAAATGTCAATGCAGGAGGAATGGCACCAACTTTCACCGTACAGGAGATTTGGAACTCGTATTCGAAACGACAGCCCTTCTTTCTGCTTCTGTGGTGAGTGACATGGCCAGCTTCTAAAATAAGGTGTCAAACCCTCCCAAAGTCACAGTCTAAGGTCATTGTGGGAGATCCAAGACGTGTGCCAGGTTACACAGAGCGAGCTGAATTACATTGTTAGCTTGGTTGAACCAGGCTAGAACATTGTTAACTATCTACAGACCAATGGCTCAAACGCAGGCAGCCTGTCACCCGTAGAGAGGTCGCCACCCTGTGGACGGAGGAGTGCATTACTTTTAAAAGGGAACATAAACCAATGGTCACTCAGGCACTTGATTCTAACCGTATGCATAGCAACACAATGCAACGCAGAGCCACTAAGTCAGCCAGCATGCCTTGGATCACACAGAGAAGGCAGCAACATTCAGAATCAGACCCAAAAACAAGGCTACAAACTCAGTCAGCTCCTCAACCTACCCACTCCCCACGCATAAAAAAACAACAACGTTATTATACACCCTGTGATACAGAGACAAATAGTATTAGCTAAGCTAGCTGTGACCTCCACATACAGACTAATGCATGCTACAGATGTGTATAGACTCCTCTGCAACGCTACTGTGAGCAGATTGCCACGTGATTTCAGTGTGGTCCGGTTAGAAGACAAACTGAGAAAAGCTATCGGTTTAACAAAATCAAAAGAATATTAAACATGAATAAATAATGAATATTATTATTATGGCGACAGGAGTAGAAATGAACAAAGAAGAATGAGGTAGAGACATGGATTAACCACTTGAGAAACTCAAAGAGGAGAGGCAGTGAGAGAGCGAGTGAGAAAGACAGATGAGGAGCGGTGTATGAGAGAGCGAGAACGAGAGAGAGAGAGAGAGAGAGAGAGAGAGAGAGAGAGAGAGAGAGAGAGAGAGAGAGAGAGAGAGACCAGTCTCTTGCTGATCTTAGTTTATCTAATTCCTGCAGCCTGAGGTGAGCAGGACGTAGAGTGAATTGGTCATCTGGCTAGCTGGCCTCTCTTTCGCCTCACATCCGCATACGGTGTCGTGGGTCGGCGAGGGGGGGCTCGGAGTCGTCCATGGGCAGGACCAGACGAGTACCCCTCATCACCAGCTCGTGGTCCCCGTACGTCAGCTCGCGGTCCAAGTCGTCAGCGGAGATGACGGCAGAGGTGGTGCCCGCGGGCCCTGCACTGGTGTGGGCACCGCTGGCGTCCGTGCTCACCGTGATGTCACCGTAGGTCAGGCTGATGTCCCCGTCCGTCAGGATGAGGTCCGAGTCGTCGTCCTTCAGCTGGCACTCATTCTGTTGGCAGGAAAGAGAGTGGAACATTTAGAAATAGGTCATCATTAGACGACATTTTGATTATGATGGTTCTCACTAATCAGATACTCCTGCTAGAACTGAACTAATGCTTTAGCTTCTATGAAATCAGCAACTCTTCATTTGAGTTCATTCAAACATACACTATCCGTTGTGATACTCATTAAAACAAAGAAGAAAACACTTCCTCACTACATGTCATCGCTATTACCATAATCACCCTTATAGGGTCACGGGGTTAATATGGACACATGGTTTGTGGGGACTGACCTCATAGGCCTGTGGGCTGGTGAGACATCTGGCCAGCGGTCCACAGCAGGCAGGCATGGTGACGGTGAGTGGGGGGCCGCTGTGGGTCAGGATGGGCTTCAGGTAGCTGGAGAGGGCGTAGAGTCAAGTCCTCAACTGTGTAACATTGTTTTGTTACTAACTGCTCAAATATGTCATGGAGATTTCCTATAGGAGAATCATCCTCCTCTTCCTCAATACACCAGCCTCCACTGCTGTAGGCTAGTATGTTATTGCAGTACTAGGCTTGTATGTTATTGCAGTAATAGGCTAGTATGTTATTGCAGTAATAGGCTTGTATGTTATTGCAGTACTAGGCTTGTATGTTATTGCAGTACTAGGCTTGTATGTTATTGCAGTACTAGGCTTGTATGTTATTGCAGTAATAGGCTAGTATGTTATTGCAGTAATAGGCTTGTATGTTATTGCAGTACTAGGCTTGTATGTTATTGCAGTAATAGGCTAGTATGTTATTGCAGTAATAGGCTAGCAGGTTATTTCAGTAATTGCACACATATATACACATTATCATTTTGGTTATGCTGGACAAATCATGGTTTCATACTCAGGAGTTAATACACTGAATAGAGAATATAAAAGCTTTGTCTGTGAAAAAAATATATATATAAAAAAACAAATTGGTCACTGGAGCGCCATCTGCTGTGTACTGATGGGAGTGACAAAGGATACTTGTGGTCAAAGTTGTACCAGATCCTAAAGAGCCAGGCACTCTCGTGTTTGGTGCTCCTCCACTCTGATCCCTCTGCAATGCTCATCTGAGGAGACAGACAAGACAGATACAGAGATCCACTCAAAACAACAGGACTTCATCAATCAGATGATTACAGCGTTCAAGTAAAATAACTCAACTTTCATAGGCTTAATACTCACTGAGTTATCTGCGTCCGAATCAACTCCAACACTGTTAGAAATGCAGATATACATAAATGAGTCTACCAGATCACAGTGGTCACAGACGATCATATTGAAGACGGACAGACAACCTTATCCTAGATTAGAATAAACATCAATTCAACAAAGGTTCCGTTTGAAGGCAACAAAAATAATAGGCAGACACCAACACCCCCTAACCTTTGACCCCCGCGGTGGACCTACCGTATGTGCTGGCAGGAGAGCATCTGAGTGGTTCCCCCTCCACAGACCCACACAGTAAAGAAGACGATGAGGAGGGTGGTGGTGAACATCATCTGACGGGCGTACGTAGCCGTGTCCCGGATGGAGAGGGCAAAGGTCATCGCCCCACGCAGACCTGTGGAGGACAAATCAAATCAAATGTGATTGGTCACATACACATATTTAGCAGATGTTATTGCGGGTGTAGCGAAATGCTTGTGGATAACGTAAGAAATAACACACAAAAAAACTAAAATACTGCAAAGTTGCTTAGGAGCTAGAAGCAGAGCTGCCATGTCTGTCAGCGCCATCTTCTGGAAACAAGGAGCGGTAATACTGTGTGTGTGTGTGTGTATATATATATATATATATATATATATATATATATATATATATATATATATATATATATATATGCATGCAAGTGACGTGTGATTGCACAAGTTATACAAGCAGTGTGTGTCTCCACAAGTCAGTCATATCACTTAAAATAGATTTTTGTTAGATAACGTCGCTGGTGTGGGAACTCTGAACATTTCCAATTATAGTGATCACATGACAATCAGTTAAAACAGGTCCATAGGGGTCAGTGTAACAACAGGTCCATAGGGGTCAGTGTAACAACAGGTCCATAGGGGTCAGTGTAACAACAGGTCCATAGGGGTCAGTGTAACAACAGGTCCATAGGGGTCAGTGTAACAACAGGTCCATAGGGGTCAGTGTAACAACAGGTCCATAGGGGTCAGTGTAACAACAGGTCCATAGGGGTCAGTGTAACAACAGGTCCATAGGGGTCAGTGTAACAACAGGTCCATAGGGGTCAGTGTAACAACAGGTCCATAGGGGTCAGTGTAACAACAGGTCCATAGGGGTCAGTGTAACAACAGGTCCATAGGGGTCAGTGTAACAACAGGTCCATAGGGGTCAGTGTAACAACAGGTCCATAGGGGTCAGTGTAACAACAGGTCCATAGGGGTCAGTGTAACAACAGGTCCATAGGGGTCAGTGTAACAACAGGTCCATAGGGGTCAGTGTAACAACAGGTCCATAGGGGTCAATGTAACAACAGGTCCATAGGGGTCAGTGTAACAACAGGTCCATAGGGGTCAGTGTAACAATAGGTCCATAGGGGTCAATGTAACAACAGGTCCATAGGGGTCAGTGTAACAACAGGTCCATAGGGGTCAGTGTAACAACAGGTCCATAGGGGTCAGTGTAACAACAGGTCCATAGGGGTCAGTGTAACAACAGGTCCATAGGGGTCAGTGTTACAACAGGTGATGGTATGACTCAAGTTACTACATTTGTAGAATGTCAAGGATGTACTGTATTAGCAAAACAGTGTCTCCTAAATCACTCGACACACGAAAGCAGACTCATAAATCAACATATAAAAGCTTTAGAACAAAAAATTGGGAGGATATTCCAGCCTCTGCACATATTTCAAATTCCCAAAAAATATTTAATATATACAGTACCAGTCAAAGGTTTAGACACACCTACTCATTCAAGGGTTTTTCATAATTTTTTTACAACTATTTTCTACATTGTAAACTAATAGTGAAGACATCAAAACGATGAAATAACACATGGAATCATGTAACCAAAAAAGTGTTAAACAAATCAAAATATATTTTATATTTGAGATTCTTCAAATAGCCACCCTTTGCCTTGATGACAGCTTTGCACACTCTTGCCATTTTCTCAACCAGCTTCATGAGGTAGTCACCTGGAATGCATTTCAATTAACAGGTGTGCCTTGTTAAAAGTTAATTTGCGGAATTTATTTCCTTCTTAATGTGTTTGAGCCAATCAGTTGTGTTGTGACAAGGTAGGGGGGGTACACAGAAGATAGCCGTATTTGGTAAAAGACCAAGTCCATATTATGTCAAGAACAGCTCAAATAAGCAAAGAGTAACGACCGTCCATCATTACTTTAAGACAAGAATGTCAGTCAATACGGAACATTTAAAGAACTGTGCAGTCACAAAAACCATCAAGCGCTAAGATGAAACTGGCTCTCATGAGGACCGCCACAGAATCTTTTTTTTTTTTTTTTTCACCTTTATTTAACCAGGTAAGCCAGTTGAGAACAGGTTCTCATTTACAACTGCGACCTGGCCAAGATAAAGCAAAGTAGTGCAATAAAAACAACACAGAGTTACATATGGGGTAAAAAAAAACATAAAGTCAGAAATACAACAGAAAATATATATACAGTGTGTGCAAATGTAGCAAGTTATGGAGGTAAGGCAATAAATAGGCTATAGTGCAGAATAATTACAATAGTATTAACACTGGAATGCTAGATGTGCAAGAGATTATGTGCAAATAGAGATACTGGGGTGCAAAAGAGCAAAATAAATAACAATATAGGGATGAGGTAGTTGGGTGGGCTAATTTCAGATGGGCTGTGTACAGGTGCAGTGATCGGTAAGGTGCTCTGACAACTGATGCTTAAAGTTATTGAGGGAGATAAGAGTCTCCAGCTTCAGAGATTTTTGCAATTCGTTCCAGTCATTGGCAGCAGAGAACTGGAAGGAATGGCGGCCAAAGGAGGTGTTGGCTTTGGGAATGACCAGTGAGATATACCTGCTGGAGCGCAGACTACGGGTGGGTGCTGCTATGGTGACCAATGAGCTAAGATAAGGCGGGGATTTGCCTAGCAGTGATTTATAGATGGCCTGGAGCCAGTGGGTTTGACGACGAACATGTAGTGAGGACCAGCCAACAAGAGCGTACAGGTCACAGTGGTGGGTAGTGTATGGGGCTTTGGAGACAAAACGGATGGCACTGTGATAGACTACATCCAATTTGCTGAGTAGAGTGTTGGAGGCTATTTTGTAAATGACATCGCCGAAGTCAAGGATCGGTAGGATAGTCAGTTTTACGAGGGCATGTTTGGCAGCATGAGTGAAGGAGGCTTTGTTGCGAAATAGGAAGCCGATTCTAGATTTAACTTTGGATTGGAGATTCTTTATGTGAGTCTGGAAGTTGAGTTTACAGTCTAACCAGACACCTAGATATTTGTAGTTGTCCACATACTCTAGGTCAGACCCGTCGAGAGTGGTGATTCTAGTCGGGTGGGCGGGTGCTAGCAGCGTTCGATTGAAAAGCATGCATTTAGTTTTACTAGTGTTTAAGAGCAGTTGAAGGCTACTGAAGGATTGTTGTATGGCATTGAAGCTCGTTTGGAGGTTTGTTAACACAGTGTCCAATGAAGGGCCAGATGTATACAAAATGGTGTCGTCTGCGTAGAGGTGGATCTGAGAGTCACCAGCAGCAAGAGCGACATCATTGATATACACGGAGAAAAGTGTCGGCCCAAGAATTGAACCCTGTGGCACCCCCATAGAGACTGCCATAGGTCCAGACAACAGGCCCTCCGATTTGACACACTGAACTCTATCTGAGAAGTAGTTGGTGAACCAGGCGAGGCAGTCATTTGAGAAACCAAGGCTATTTAGTCTGCCAATAAGAATGCGGTGGTTGACAGAGTCGAAAGCCTTGGCCAGGTCGATGAAGACGGCTGCACAGTACTGTCTATTATCAATCGCGGTTATAATATCGTTTAGGACCTTGAGCGTGGCTGAAGTGCACCCGTGACCAGCTCGGAAACCGGATTGCATAGCGGAGAAGGTACGGTGGTATTCGAAATGGTCGATGATCTGTTTGTTAACTTGGCTTTCAAATACTTTCGAAAGGCAGGGCAGGATGGATATAGGTCTGTAGCAGTTTGGATCTAGAGTGTCACCCCCTTTGAAGAGGGGGATGACCGCGGCAGCTTTCCAATCTCTGGGGATCTCAGACAGCTGATGTTTTGAAAGCGCTGCAAAATCTGGACCCCTACAAATCAGCTGGGCTAGACAATCTGGACCCTTTCTTTCTAAAACTAGCCGCCGAAATTGTCGCAACCCCTATTACTAGTTTGTTCAACCTCTCTTTCATAACGTCTGAGATCCCCAGAGATTGGAAAGCTGCCGCGGTCATCCCCCTCTTCAAAGGGGGTGACACTCTAGATCCAAACTGCTACAGACCTATATCCATCCTGCCCTGCCTTTCGAAAGTATTCCTGTAAAGTAAACCTGGTTAAATAAAGGTGAAATAAAATAAAAAATAAATTAAAAAAAAGACGTTATGAAAGAGAGGTTGAACAGACTAGTAATAGGGGTTGCGACAATTTCGGCGGCTAGTTTTAGAAACAAAGGGTCCAGATTGTCTAGCCCAGCTGATTTGTAGGGGTCCAGATTTTGCAGCGCTTTCAAAACATCAGCTGTCTGAATTTGTGTGAAGGAGAAGCGGGGGGGGCATGGGCAAGTTGCAGCAGAGGGTGCAGAGTTGGTGGCCGGGTTAGTGGTAGCCAGATGGAAAGCATGGCCAGCTGTAGCAAAATGCTTGTTGAAATTCTCGATTATTGTAGATTTATCGGTGGTGATAGTGTTTCCTAGCCTCAGTGCAGTGGGCAGCTGGGAGGAAGTGCTCTTATTCTCCATGGACTTTACAGTGTCCCAAAACTTTTTGGAGTTAGTGCTACAGGATGCAAATTTCTGTTTGAAAAAGTTAGCCTTTGCTTTCCTGACTGCTTGTGTATATTGGTTCCTAACTTCCCTGAAAAGTTGCATATCGCGGGGGCTATTTGATGCTAATGCTGTACGCCACAGGATGTTTTTGTGCTGGTCAAGGGCAGTCAAGTCTGAGGAGAACCAGGGGCTATATCGGTTCTTAGTTCTGTATTTTTTGAATGGGGCATGTTTATTTAAGATTGAGAGGAAATTACTTTTAAGGAACAACCAGGCATCCTCTACTGACGGAATGAGATCTATATCCATCCAGGATACCTGGGCCAGGTCAATTAGGAAGGCCTCCTCGCTAAAGTGTTTTAGGGAGCGTTTGACAGTGATGAGGGGTGGTCGTTTGACCGCGGACCCGTTACGGACGCAGGCAATAAGGCAGTGATCGCTGAGATCCTGGTTGAAGACAGCTGAGGTGTATTTAGAGGGTATGTTAGTCAGGATGATATCTATGAGGGTACCCATGTTTACGGATTTAGGGTTGTACCTGGTAGGTTCGTTGATAATTTGCGTGAGGTTGAGGGCATCTAGCTTGGATTGTAGGATGGCTGGGGTATTAAGCATATCCCAATTTAGGTCACCAAGCAGTACAAACTCTGAGGATAAATGGGGGGCAATCAATTCACATATGGTGTCCAGGGCACAGCTGGGGGCTGAAGCAAGCGGCAACAGTGAGAGACTTATTTCTGGAAAGGTGGATTTTTAGAAGTAGAAGCTCAAACTGTTTGGGCACAGACCTGGATAGTATGATAGAGCTCTGCAGTCTATCTCTACAGTAGATTGCAACTCCACCCCCTTTGGCAGTTCTATCTAGACGGAAAATGTTATAGTTGGGGATGCTGCAGAGGATAAGTTCATTAGAGTTACCAGCCTCAGAAATTGCAGCCCAAATAAATGCTTCACAGAGTTCAAGTCACAGACACATCTCAACATCAACTGCTCAGAGGGGACCGTGTGAATCAGGCCTTCAAAGTCAATTGCTGCAAAGAAAGCACTACTAAAGTACACCAATAAGAAGAAGAGACCTGCTTGGGCCAAGAAACACAAGCAATAGACATTAGACCGGTGGAAATTTGTCCTTTGGTCTGGAGTCCAAATTTGAGATTTTTGGTTCCAACCGCTGTGTCTTTGTGAGACGCGGTGTGGGTGAACGGATGATCTCCGCATGTGTAGTTCCCACCGTAAAGCACGGAGGAGGAGGTGTTATGGTGTGTTGTTTTTTTTGCTGGTGACACTGTCTGTGATTTACTTAGAATTCAAGGTACACTTAACTAGCATGGCTACCACAGCATTCTGCAGCGATGCACCATCCCATCTGGTTTGGGCTTAGTGGGACTATCATTTGTTTTTCAACAGGACAATGACCCAACACACCTGCAGGCTGTGTAAGGGCTATTTGACCAAGAAGGAGAGTGATGGAGTGCTGCATCAGATGACCTGGCCTCCACAATCCCCCGACCTCAACCCAATTGAGATGGTTTGGGATGAGTCGGACGGCAGAGTGAAGGAAAAGCAGCCAACAAGTGCTCAGCACTCCTTCAAGACTGTTGGAAAAGCATTCCAGGTGAAGCTGGTTGAGAGAATGCCAAGAGTGTGCAAAGTTGTCATCAAGGCAAAGGGTGGCTATTTGAAGAATCTCAAATATAAAATATATTTTAATTTGTTTAACACTTTTTGGGTTACTACATGATTCCATATGTGTTATTTCATAGTTTTGATGTCTTCACTATTATAAATAGTAAAAATAAAGAAAGACCCTTGAATGAGTAGGTGTGTCCAAACTTTTGACTGGTACTGTAAATATATATATTTTTAAATAATTCTGGCTGATATTTCCTCCCATGAAACCCTGAAATTGGATAGAAAGGGATAGCTTATTTTCCTTCACACCGCCTTTTCTCTTCAAGTAAATACAAAGTTATATATTCTAGTAATTAAACTTGTGGCGCCAGATCTCTGCCTGACCATGTCACACACTGTACCAGCAAACATCATCATGTGTTGGAAGTTGGAGCTGATCTTGTTCCTTCGTCCCAGGTTAAGCAGGAAGGACAGGGGGTAGATGTTGGCTGCTCTGCCCAGGAACACTGCCAGCTGGGAGGGGAACGCTGTCAAGGAGGGCTCCAAACAGTCCAGAGAAGGAAAAGAAACCCACCACAGTCTACTGAATATTTGCACTCTAAAAATAAATAATAAACGATATACTTTTTTTCTTACCATGACTTTTCTGGTTTTCCAAACTGTACATGCAATATAGTCCATACTGCACATTAACTCCCTACAAAAGTTAAATATTAATTGAAGTATTATAGTGTGAGTAAGGATACAAAAGCCCCGACGATGAACGTGGGGTTGAAGATGTGGTTCTGGAAGGTGAACAGGGCCAGACCCATGTAGGAGAAGATGAAATTCTCCGCCAGGAAGCTTAGCAGCTCAAACAACTACAGGACAACACAAAAACAACATTTCAGGGACACTGATGGAATGTCAACATTTAGCAGATGACATTGATGTCCACAGTAGCTTGCGGTAAATAACTGCAATGGTAAACGTTGACCTCACCTGTTTGGACCTCTCCTGGGACTCAGGGGACAGGTTGTTGAAGGTGTAATGAGCCTGAGTGATCCCACAGAACAGCACCGCCACAACACCTGCAGACACATACCCACATCATGATTAACCATAATAAGCTGGGTCATGAAAAATAAGCTGTGGGGTGGGACCATGACCTGTGTGTAGAGGTACAGTAAGATGAGGGTTACCTGTGAAGCCACAGGCCTCTGCCATTAAGAAGGTGCTCCAGGACATGAGGAAGAAGAGAGCAGTCTCCAGTAGCTGGAAGTCTCTCAGCTTAGTGAACTTAGTGACGTGAGGAGAACAGTCAAAGAGAAAATACGACATGAAAACACAACACTGACATTAGGAACACCTGCTCTTTCCATGACATAGACTAACCAGGTGAAGGCCCTCAAAATTGTCAAAGACTCCAGCCACCCTAGTCATAGACTGTTCTCTCTGCTAACGCACGGCAAGCGGTACCGGAGTGCCAAGTCTAGGTGATAGATTAATTATTAATGACTAATTATTACACCCTGAAACTGTGTATAATGTGTTAGAAATGTGTGAGTGTAGGACCAGTAAAGGCTATGGCATTGAGCCACTATTTAGCAATGTGAGTAAGAGTTAGGCCAGACAACAAAGACAACTGAGAAACTAAGATAAAGAGGCCTCCCAATTTAGGGAGGGGAGAAACTGTTATGAAAACATGGTGCAGAATATTGTGAGAACGGCAATAACTGAGTAATGCAGGGAGTAGGATATGCGTGTGTGTGTGTGTATGTATGTATGTGTGTATGCATGTGTGTATATGTGTGTGTGTGTGAACTGAAGGTCAGTAGAGCAGTTTTAGAGTGGAAAACTACAGCCCGCCTACAGAGGGGAGGGATATCTTTTTGTATGACTTATGAGTATAAAAGATGGACTCTGAAATTGTGATGGCAGAATTCTCAATGAATAAATATCTCTGACTATGCAGACCGGGACTCTGGCCGTTACTTAAATCCCAAAAGACTTACAACCTTTTGGGAGACGCACAGAGACACTAAAATAGTTTGTTAAATAATTCACATAACAGCTTGGTCCTTCTGAGCCGGACTCCAATACCCTGTTTCTGTCATTCCAGGTAACTCTGAAAACCGTCGACGGGCGAATGATACATTCGTAAATAGAAAGTCCTGCCCTTTGACATTAAGGGTTAAAACAGGCCAGAGGACACCTGATTAATGACAGAGACGGTGACGGAATCCAAACCTACATTGAATCTCGGCTGCAAGGATAAGGTCAGTAGTCTTTATAATAATAATAAATATAATATGCCATTTAGCAGACGCTTTTATCCAAAGCGACTTACAGTCATGCGTGCATACATTTTTGTGTATGGGTGGTCCCGGGGATCGAACCCACTACCTTGGCGTTACAAGCGCCGTGCTCTACCAGCTGAGCTACAGAGGACCACTTTATTCATTACTTGGTGAAATTGATTTGAGAACTTGCTAAAATATTGAAAAGTAGCAAATTGATCAATGCGTAGCCATTTTAAGTGAAATGTAGGGGACTGTCAGGAATTATCAAGATTACATTGTGAGGATAGACTCCTCCGTAGAGTAGGAGATAATTCTGGGGGACTAGTCAACCTGTTGGTGGGTCCGTAACGATTCACGGTAATAGGCCATTACCAAAAGAAACTACCCGGTGTTGAAATAGAAGGAACTATTAAAAGTACACCTATGGGATGGAACCTGTAAGAGATTATTGAACAGTCAACAAATAATCCGGGTTAAACAAATACAAAAAATACACCAGAAGGAATTAAAATAGCATGTGTGAGAAATAGAATATTAGTAAAGTCAAAAACAACTGTAGATTTTGCTGTAACTCTATCCGTTCTGGAGCCTTATAAACTCCAGGTTACCGATATAACACCAATAATCATGTAAGGTTGTATACGTGTGAGACCTAATGTTTGCTCAAAAGTCACATGAATAATTCCAGGTGGTTGTATAGAGGAGGGAGAACCCATTCCTGTTGTATGAGACTGTCAGGAATTATCAAGATTACATTGTGGGGATCAATCCCTCTGTAAAAGTATGAGATAATTCTGGGGGACTAGTCAAGATTACATATACAGGAAGGGGTGATTCAAGGTGTTGTTGTGTGAAGCTATTTTGAATTACTTGTTAAATTGACTTGTTATATAGAAGAGGTGGCTAAGGGATTTTTAACAGTACCAACCATGGGGGGGGCAAATCCTCACAAGAGGTCCCAGAATTTACTGGGGACGAGAAATACTTGATGTAATTAAAATGGAATCCAGGGATAGAAGAAATCTCCATTATGTAACCAGGTGGAGGGAGAGGTATGGTTTTGAGGGATGTCTAGACGCAGATAAACTCGAATCCATGCTTAAACAGATACATAAGGTGTGTAAAGGAGAAATAAGCAGTGAGAGAGAGAGAGAGAGTAGGAGGGGGCCAGTACCCACTGATAGCCTTACCTAATCTATTGGCGGGGAATGAAAGGGGCCCCAGCAACCTTAGATGTATACAGTAATAATAATAATAATATGCCATTTAGCAGACAGGCCATGAACACAAGAGGACGTGGCCAGAGCGGTAGAAGGAATGACCCACCCCAAAACAGGAATAGTAAGGTTTGGGCTGCCGTTAGAGGGCAGTGGGTTTCAGGGGATGCCCAGAGGACACTTTTGCCATGGGCCGATTACGGAGAGTATGTTGGGAAACTAACTGAATTGTGTAATAGCCTCAGAGAGACATGCAATCCATCATGAGCAGAATAACAGACAGGACAGAGCCAAGAAAGAAGAGGAAGATGCAGAGTAACTAATTGCCACTCTGGGAGAGATGGCGGGTAGAACTTAGGAGAGAGAGGAGATAAGGCAGGAAAGAGTGAAGGCCACGTGGGGAGAATAGGGGCTTTAACTGTAACAAGAGAGAATTCCATCCCCCAGCTTTGAGCGTGAGGAAGAGGAAGATAAGGCGTGACTAGTCCTTGAGGGAGAAATAGTAGACTCTAGTGGGGGGAAGACTAAGGAACCCTTTGATCCAAATTGTGAGGTGTTTGAATTGGCTACTATTGACTTAGCACTTCAACAGGAACAGAAACCTTATTTGACATTGACAGTAATGGGTAAGAAAATTAAATTCCTTTGTGATACGGGAGCCTGCAGGACAGCAATCTGTGCAACAGACAAGCCAGATGGAGTCAGGATTGATGGGGAGAAAATCATAGTGCGATCTGCCTCTGGTCATCAATTTATTGAAAGGGTATCAGCCCCAATAACCCTAAAACATGACCAATCAGGATGAGAGGCAACCATTCCCATCCTGATATCTAAGCTGTGTCCGGTAAATTTACTAGGACGTGATGTAATGACTAAATTGAATGTGGCCGTCATTTCCACTGAGAGGGGAATGAAAGTACACATAGTCAGAGACAATATGGTGGTCTGTGGGGAAGGGGAGCCATGTTATTGGTATAGGCAAGATTTGTTAAGGGGGGGAATAACTGATATTCCCCGAACCTTGATGGAACTTGCTGATGATGTAGTACCAGGCCCCACTAAAATGTCCCCCGATGACCTACACTGTACTCTCTGGTATAACAAACACCCAGGTCCAGATGCAATCTATGAGGAAGCATTATTTAAAACCACAGAAAGGACTATAGCCTTGAAATGGTTTCACTATGACAACACCCACGCAGCAGTGGAGGTGGAACTAGGGCCCCAAAGTTCAGGGAAAGATGGAGCCCACATGTGTCCCTAGCAAAGGAGCCAGCAGAGGACTGGAAAGACATGGGCCAGTGGGTCTCCAAAAGGTAAGAGGATCACTGATTGGGTCAATATTGTGAGTGGCGATCAACACAGCTCATCCACAGATAGTACATTTAGATGAGAATAGCAGATGCTGAGGAGAGGAATACCTGTTGACAGAACAGGAGTCAGACTTAAAATAAGTTCCAGAGCATTTGTGGTCCCGGGGTCCAGCAGACGTAGGATTAATAAAAGGGGTAATTCCAGTACAGGTGATACCCAAATCTAATCATAGGCCATATCAGAAGCAATACCCTATGAAACCAGAAGCAATAAAAGGTTTGCAGTTTACCAAGAGCAGATTGGGAGGGACCTTGAGGGAGGGCCAATTCCCGGGGAGATAGTGAGGCCAGAAACAAAGGTGCAGTGTCCTGGAAATCACAGTCTGTTTTGTTTTTTTCAGTTCTGCTGGGAGTACATTTGATGATGGGGTTTTGTGTTGAATTAGAGACAGTGAGACTATTAGTCAATACCTAGGAGAGAAGAGAGGTTACGGTAGCAAAGACAGACAAGAAGGAAATGGTAATAGTGGAGACAGGAGTGAGTGGAAGTGTTACAATTGTGACAAAACGGGACATTTTGCTAGAGAATGTGAGGAACCGTGTAGTTACTGTGCAAGGAAAGGGCACCAGTTAAGAAACTGTAGGCAGAAGGGGAAGAGAGAAATCAGGAGTCCTCATGACCTGGCTGTTTGGTTGTTGTTTTTTAATTGGGGTTTTCAAATAAAAAACAACACACCTAGTATGATGTTTATAAAGGGTTGTTGTTTCAATTTTGGGGGGTTTTCAGCAGGTCAAGGGTGATAGGTCTTAGAGGAGCACACAGTGAATTTTATGGAGTTTTTTAGGTTTTGGCTGAGTTTGGGGTATATATGATTTCTTATGAGAATGAATGTCATGAGGATTAATGAACACTTGGGATAAGTAACATTTATTAAATATTTAGAATAATGGTAATGTTTGGTATACTATGGGATGGAATTTCAATTGCCTCTGAACTCTGTTTTAACTTTCTGGTGTTAATTAATCATCCACACTGGTAAATTCTAAAGGCAGGAGAGGAGGACTTTAAGATAGTTTATTTTACCAATAAATAAAAATAAGGGATGGCAATTGGATGATAAATTACCAATATTACCTAAGTGATTGTTAGGTAGGTGATAATATTGACACATGGGCAGTGACCTCCGGCTAAGTACCCTTTCCAGCAATTGGAAATGGATTTTATAGAGTTATCACGGAGTGAAGGGAAGAAATTTAGAGTAACCCCAGATAAAGATGGGTTATCCCCCTTTGAGAAAGTGTTTGGAAGACCTTACAGAATGCCACAGTTGGCAGGACCAGACAGGCAGACATATAACTAGAGAGCACCCTAGCAGAACATGTGAGAAGATAATTTATTAACCACACCTGTATGTCAGAGGTTTTGTGCCCCACAGGTGAACTAAAGGAGAAGGTGACCCACTCTA